TTTTTGGTACTTTGTAAATCATATAAAAATGAATAACAAAGTCATATAAATAGCAACAAAACTCATTAGAAAAAATAAAGAAAAAATTAAAACTTCTACTTCTACTTTCCAAAAACAAAAACCAAATCCAAATTCCAGTGATTCGAATAAACATTTTATGCCAAATGTCGCTGCATAACTTATGGATGCGATGATATGGTTTTTTAGCCATGTTGAAGGCGCTGTCCAATCAATGAGCTGCAAAAAAATAATGCCAAATTAGAAAGAACAAACGAAAAACGACAACTCGCTATATTAGTAGTTAATAAAACACAACAATAATAAAAAACAAACCGCTAATACCAACGAAACCTGTTCTGGCCTAAACATTTGTATGAATAAAATCGAACTCGACAACATTCTTGAAAAATAACGTATGCACGCCGCATAAAATTTGAAAACATAGCAAAGCAAACAAATAAATATGTTAAAAGTAAAAAAACATAAAATAATATAAATAAACAAAAGTCATTTTGTTGTTGATTTGCAAATAACCAAAAACTTAACTCTCATTTTGGACACTATCAACGACCTTGTCCGTTGCTAGCCAATCAAATCTCACTTTATTATGGAAATGTGCTTTGAGAGATATTGTAGATCCTACGAATTGCTTGACTCACTCCACCCTTACCTGGCTAATATTTAATTGATGAATATCAACGAAATTGCCGTCCGCCGCTGCCTAATGAAAATTTAATGTGCAAACTTTGCGCATTATGAAAATGTTATTGGCTCTGCAGGTGGCAGACATAATATAATTGTTTCAGCATTTGGCATATATATGTACATATATAAGTATATATGTATATCCAAGGATTTGACTTTAAGTAAAATTGCATTTTACATATCTAATACATCAGTTGGCATATACATATATACATATCTTTACTTTGCATATTCACTCAGTCCAATTGAGCATACAAATGACACTTTAGCTGCCAAGCACACAAACACAGGCACACACACATACACACAAACACATAGAGAGAAGGAGAGAGAGAGAGAGAGAGAGAGAGAGACAGACACAGCTATGCCCGCCATGTTGCCGGGAAGCGCAAATGTGTCTAGCATGGGCGCGACCACGCCCCCTTTGTCTGAGCTGCAACTGTTTCACAGTGAGAAATTCCTTTTGAATTTAACCCAAGTGCTGAACATATCAGCGGACAATCTGACGGAGCTGCTGCAGGGACTGGAGCCGCACGATCTGCTGACGAACCAAAGCTCGCACACAATGGCCACCCACATGGGTCTATTAGCCACGCTCAGCATTGGCTATGCGCTCATCTTTATTGCCGGCGTGCTGGGCAACCTAATCACCTGCATTGTCATCTCGCGGAACAATTTCATGCACACGGCCACCAATTTCTATCTATTCAATTTGGCCATATCGGATCTCATACTGCTGTGCTCGGGTCGGTAGCATCCCGTCTATTGTGATTGTAATTAGCTGGCTAATCCTTTGGCTTGCAGGCATGCCGCAGGACCTATATAACCTCTGGCACCCAGACAGCTATCCCTTCTCAGACGGCATTTGCATACTGGAGAGCGTGCTGTCCGAGACGGCGGCCAATGCCACCGTCCTGACCATCACCTCGTTCACCGTGGAGCGCTACATTGCCATTTGCCATCCGTTCAGGTAAGTGGCCTTGACCCTGCCCATTTGCTAGCCACTTGATTGATGTCAACTCCTACCAGGCAGCACACCATGTCCAAGCTGTCGCGTGCCATCAAGTTCATCTTTGCCATTTGGATAGCCGCCCTGTTGCTCGCCCTCCCGCAGGCCATTCAATTCTCCGTGGTCACACAGAGTCCGGGCTCATCATGTACGGTAAATGTTGGTACAACTACTACTACTACTAAGACATTTCAATCTACGCTAATAGAGAGTGGTTGTACATGAAGCAGAAGAAGAAGAAGAAGCATGAATGCTTATAGAGTAGCATAAAGTTAGGCAAAAGATTGTTGAACCGTAGTTGAATAAAACCTTGATGATGGGTGTAATGCCAAATGGAAGAAGTAATACGAAGTAGACAGCTAACGCTTCAAAACTATCCACAATAATTCCTTTTCTTGATAATGCTGAACAGCTTGGTATTTACATATATCCTGATCTTGAGATCTACTAGATATAAAATCTTATTTATTATAATTGGATTAAGTAATATAAAGCTGACAGCTGGCTCTTACTAGTCTATATAGCTATATATTGTTGAGAATGATTCAAATAAAGGCGGGAATTTATTTATATTCCTTATCGTATGATCACCCGAATCACTACAGCTACCGACAGCTGTATATCGACCATAAACTACTTCAGCAAGTTTCTCTTCCTCTTCATTAAGCCTCTCAAAGTGGCAGACCGAACCACTTTACAACATCATTTGAGTTTATTTAAATTTCTAATTAAATTCATTATTTATAACCCTCACTTTCGGCTAGCCAAACTATTAAATTATTGTTCATTAGCATTGGACCTCTACAGCATCATATTAAAATTAGTTCTTAAAGGCGGCGCGCGTTTACTATGCAAAACTAATAAATTAAAATCAAGCTTATTATCTCAAGCTCAAGCTCAAGAATAAAATATCTGATCGAAATATTTTATTTACAGACAAGTATATCATTTAAGGAGAGGAAGAGAGAAAGAGGAAAGAATTTAATGGTGTACATATACATATAGGATAGAATATTTGAGTTTATCCTCAATATACACTTTCCTCTTTATCCGATTATATTTGCTAAGCTAAAATATATATGTATGGAAGCATGTGTGTATATTTATTTTAAATATTGTATATTTTTGTTAAATCTTGCTCCTCATCTCATCAAACCTGTCTGCTCGATTCAATACATATATTGTATATTCCTATATAGACTTTATGTCTCTGTAAGAGTATTCAAATTTCAGTGAATCAATTGCATTTGATTTGATCTCTCTAACTATATTCAATTTTCGATAAGCCGAATAGCATTTTTGACAGCCTCCCCAAGATAAGACTTCTGTTTATTAGACTTCTGTGGTATATTTCCTGAGCTAATAATATACGTATACACTTACTACATTAGAATAAATCAAACTTAATTTTTTCATTCGTTAATACTTGTTTACCCTGTCAGTTGTATTTATATTTCTATTGTTCTTTCTACATACAGTCGACTCTCGTTATTTCGGAGCTCGATAATAAATAAAGCTTGGATTTATCAAGGGAATTTATTTAAATGCTGATATTTTACATATTCGCAATGTATGCTGAAATAAAGTAATCTTTGAAATGAACTCATTTATACGGGCGCCGATATTTGTTGATATCTCTCTTGCTACCCTAAATGCCACCTCTGCCCATCGGTTAAGGATCATGAAACAGCAAATCTTCATCCACTTGAACATAGTCTTTTCTTCCCACTCGTGATAACTTCGAAATGTTACAGATTTAAAATAACGAGAGTCGATTCTATGCATCTGCAAGGGCATTCAACTATCGGCACTCTGCATATAACTTTTGCCTCTCATTAATCTAGTCTCTCTGTTGCTACATATTTATATGTATATATTTGTTAAGCCGAGAGACATGCAGACATACATACAGCGATACTTATGCATCGCATTACATTGTCATTACTTTTTGACAGATGAAAAACGACTTTTTTGCACATGTCTTCGCCGTGTCCGGCTTTCTGTTCTTCGGCGGGCCGATGACGGCCATCTGTGTGCTGTACGTGCTCATCGGGATCAAGCTGAAGCGCAGCCGTCTGCTCCAGGCGCTGCCGCGTCGCAGCTACGATGTTAATCGCGGCATCAGCGCCCAGACGCGCGTCATCCGGATGCTGGGTGAGTGAGTGGGTGTGTGTGGATGCCGATGATGCTGCTGCTACTGCTGCTTCTGCTGCTGCTGCTGTTGCGTGGGCATCAACTCATTGACAACTAAYAAATTCATTCATTCTTCTTTTCGGTGGCCTTTCAGTCGCTGTGGCAGTTGCCTTCTTCATCTGCTGGGCGCCCTTCCATGCTCAGCGCCTGATGGCTGTCTATGGGTCCACCTTTGGCGTCGAGTCGCAGTGGTTCAACGACCTGTTCAACGTATTGAACTATGCATCCGGCGTGCTCTACTTTCTGTCCACCTGCATCAACCCGCTGCTGTACAACATAATGAGCCACAAGTTTCGCGAGGCATTCAAGGTGAGTGGAGCGGTCAGCAGGTCGACTCACGTTAACTCTCCTCTCTGGCCTGCAGGTGACATTGGCTCGTCAATTCCGACTCTCGGGCAAGCATCAAGGTCACGGCTTGCCGCACAATTACAGCGCGCTGCGGCGCAATCAAACGGGCTCGCTGCGCCTGCACACAGTAAGCACACGCTGAAATACACTAATCACCTTTGTTGGTCAAATGCCATTGCTTATTTAACCCTCTGCAGGACAGCGTGCGTACAACCACAACTCTGACCACACTGAACGGCTGCAGCAGCAACGGGACTGCAGCTGGCGGCGCACGCAACTCGCAGCGCTTGCAGCGAGGGTCGCTCAACAGTTCGCACGCCACACTGCTGAGCACGCAGAGTCGCAGCAGACAGGACTTGTTTGCAGCCCGTGTGGCAGGAGGGGATGGGGCAGCAGCAGCAGCAGTGGGAGCAGCRGCCACTGCTGCAGCCATGCATCCACATCCCCATCGCACGCTGCAGACACAAATCTCACAATTGTCTTCGGTGGGCGATGCCCACTCGCTGCTGGAGGCGGACCTGCAGTGGCCCGAGGAGCATTACGAGCTGGCTGCCCGGCATGGCAAGAGCTCGCATTCGGCAATGGGCGCCATTGACGAGCTGAGCTGTCAATCAAGTGCTGTGGGCGGGGCGCCTGCTGTGGGGCTGTCCCGGCCGCGTGTTAAGCTCACTCGCATCACACGGCAGCCGCAGCTGCAGACAACTGCCAGCGCCTCAGCAGCAGCAGCAACTACAGCAGCAGCAGCGGCGACGACGACGACAGCTGCTGCTGTGGCCAAGTCAATGGGCAGTGGCAAAGTGCGCAAGGCAAAGGCTAAACGCTCGACGACACTCAAGGCTCTCAAAGCCAAATTGAATTGGCGTGGCAGGCAGAAGAAGAAGGAGGAGCAGGAGGAACAGCAGGAGGAGGCTGGCGCCAGCAAAGATGCTGCTGATGGCCAGACAAGTGTGGCATCAACGCCAAGTGCCGTTTATTAGTCAGCCAGTCAGGCAGTCAGTCCATTCCAGATAAAGGACAGGTACTCGTAACTGTGATAAGAGCAGCAGCAGCAGCAGCAGCAGCAGCAGCATGAATTCTACAGCAACTACAACAAACAAAAATAATTCCAATTTGCGGCCAACCTAGCGCCAACTCAATTCCTAGCAAATACTTAGTCATATATATGTATACTATATACTCGTTATGTTTCTGATCTGCTTGCATGTGTCTCAATTTCTCTTAATAAAGCAGTCACATTTTAGCTCTCATCTCTCCCTATTTCTCTCTCTGTCTTTCTCTTTCGCTTATATCTCAGCAGCAGCCAAATTATCTGCCACAGACTAATGAATTTCATGCAAGTATCTAAATGCAGCAGCCACTGTAGCTTAATCCTCAGTAATTAAGATGTCTATCGGACGCATAAATTCTCTTCTTCTTCATTTTTTTTTTTTTTTTTTTTTTTTTTTTTTTTTTTTTTTTTTTTGGTCTAGACTGTTCGAGTGGCTTAGCAAAGCGACAGCTGTAAAATGCGCATCAGCCATTTTTTATAAAATGGCGTGCATGTGTGTGTGAGTGTATGCGTGCATGTCCATGCCCTTGACTAATTACGACAACTCATTAGGCAAGCTGTTCGAGTACTTGACTCTCATATACCCGCACTCAACTGCCGCCAAATTGCAGCCGTCGAGCGAGTCATAAAGCCAAAATACTTAAAACTAATTGAAACGAAAATTGAGCAAAATCTGTGAAGATTAATGTGAAAATGAAGTAAAGAGATTAGTCACTAAGTAAGTGATTGTGCTCAGAGCGTTGCCCCGCTTTCTACTTACCATTCGGCGGCCTTATTAATGCTGGATTTGGTTTTCATTATTTAATTTTCGGTTGCAACGACTATTACTGGCTTTTTCTTTGGCTATGTATATTTGAGATGCCGGACTATTTCTATATTGAGATGGAAGCATGGTTGAAAATGTCATGTGAGGAAAGTGTGATGGATATAAACTCATGAGTCTTTTGCATCTTGTTTTATGGCTCAGACTTCTGGTAAGCATGTTAGCCTGCAAAAACAGTTTGTGGGGATATGTTGCTGATTGCTTGTTTATGAACTCAATTATATACAAAGGAAGTGCAGAGTTCGGCAAAACAAATAATGCTTGAATTTCAATTCAACTAAAGGGCTTAACAAAGATTTTTTGAAATTTATCAATCAAGTATTTGCATGAGCTTGAATTTTTCGGAATGTAAGATGAAATTAGAGCCTATATTCAATCTTAATATTCTAACAGAAAATAGTAGCTAAAAGGTATAGATATCTGTTAAAGCAATAGCAATGAATAGAATAGAAAGTCTTCCCCCTGAAGGGGCACCAACAAATAAAAGTGGAGCGGCTGCCTCGAGTTGCAAAAGTTGATCAAAGTGATTTTATTGCAATTTACATGGAAAGCAAACTAAGAGTGAGCTAAGATGCAACACCTCCTTTCACTTCGCTTACACAGAACGTAGAGAAAACAAAATAATAATATACTTATTTATCATATTTATTTATTTTTTATTTAAGACTATCTCATCAAAACTTTCTATAACTTTAACTTTCTTTAATAACTTTTTTATTGGTTGCTAAAATAAGTTGGCCCAGCACAGGCAGTTTAAGCCAGCTGATGATTAATTCAGCAGAAAATAGTTCGATTGGTGAGTAATAAGCCAAACCTTCTGAAAACTCAACTCCATTGATTACTTTAATAATTATTTGAATTGAAATTGAAATCCAGTTAAGTAACTTACTAAATCATTGTCTGCTTACCTTACATCCTAATTTCAAGTTAGCAACTCCTCTCAGACCTTCTGGTGCAGGTATGCATAAAGTGCCAGCTGTGCACTTTGTGCCACATTTAGTTTTAATTGTCAGCGAGGAATTAATTAAGCGACAGAGCGCAATTCTGTGGCTGGCACCGTGTGTGAGCCAAAATAAATGTTTAGCAAATTCATAAAGCGCAGCGCGTGTTGCACAGTTGCTGGCAACATTTTATAGTTGACAGCATTAGAGCCACTTTGACCGCAGCATAACGAAAATGTTGGCCAAATGAAAAGAACATTTATAAATGCCAACTGGCGCAGGTGAAAGCGAAACCAAATGCGGTGGGCTCTAACAATCTGATGTGTGCCAAAAATGTTGAGCTTAAATCTAGCTGGGAACTTTAAAACAGTCAAAGGCAAGCTTTACTTACTACACTATACAATTTAGTATAAAATACTTGCCAGACATCACATTAAGTATACGCAGTGACTCACATCGTGACGCTTGGTCAATGCCCAGCCGGGAATTTCCATCAACTGTCGGTAGTTGAGTAAGTAACTGATTCACTTTACTATGCTAATCATTTGGCTTATGAGCAAAAACAGGCTGTTAGTCTGCAGTCCCGACAAAGCGACAGCAGCTAAGAAAAAAATAACGAAAAAACAAAAACATTTTCATCAAATTTGGCAGCATTTATCGTGTGTGACATGTCAAAGTCTAAATAGTTGCCGATGAATTTTATCAGTTTTTATGCGCGACCTAAAAAAACGAAAGAAGAAAAGAATACAGTGCGTACGCCTGATATGCAGACATGGCCAAAGATTGGTTACTTTGGCAACCGCATAATAAATTTTAGTGTCCCCTTATGCCATCAAATTTACTATCTACTATCGCTTTGCCAAGCATTCAACTTGTCTGGGCGCTGATGGAGCGGGGTCTGTACTCGTAGCATTCAATTTACGGGCAAATGAAATGAAAATGCKCCTTTCTGTTTGTTTGTTTCTTGCTTTATTTTCCTTACGTCTGTTTTGTATTTTAAATTTTGCTAATACGTCTTTACACACTCACGCACTCGCAATGGCACACACAATTGAGATTGAGCGCATAAATTGCATGCGAATATCGGATAAAGACGACGAGTGAGAACTAAGGGACTCGCAGCGCCCCTTATAGCCAGGCAATAAACTCCGCTCACAAACACAATTCCATTTATATGTAGAGGCGCCCCGTTAGCATTTCAAATGCGCCTTATCAATTGGGGGCGTAATGACGAGCCCATAAATTATTGTTGCCTACTTTCTTGCGGCGCCGCTACTGAAATTATTTATCGCTCTCCGATGGGGCTCACACTCGATATCAAGTTATTTAAGGCTCAATTAGTTAACACGCCTCATTCGCACTCTAATTGCCACACGCAAGCAGCCAATGGCAAATATATACATAAATTTACATAGAAAATACATGTGAAAATGATTTGATTTGAGCATTTGAGCACGTGTTGGTCAGTGCCTAGAGGGGAGAGCGTGTCGTGACACGAATAATAGAATAATAATATCTATATCTATATCTATATCTATATCTATATCTATATCTATATCTATATCTATATCTATATCTATATCTATATCTATATCTATATCTATATCTATATCTATATCTATATCTATATCACACTCAACGCTCGCATCTCTACATCGAAGCTGAAGGAATAAAAATACATACTTAATATCAAAGTTCTTGAGCATAGCAGTTATTCAGCTGGCACGTACAAATCGCCTGAGATGTCAATGGATAGGCTGGGGTAGAGGAGACGAATGAACAGGGATAGATGACTGGGATTTTTGGATGTTTGCTTAAGCCTGGTAGCCTTTAGCCTTTTGACTTTGCATTTGCCATTGACTACACGCTCTCTGGTTTGATAATCTTCTATTTCCGTTTCTGTTTCGCTTTCGCTTTCTCTTTCTCCCTCTCCTCTTTTTCTTTCCGTTGGCAGTTGCTTTTGCCTGGCATTGTTCTTGCCATTTGGCACGTTGTTAGTGGCCTTTGGGTGCGTGCAGTTGTCGTAAAATGGAATTTGATAGGCCATGACATGAATATAGTAGCTGGACACATACACACACAGGCATACTTGCATACATTTACAATCTGCGATTGCCTAAATGCCAAATAAAGTGCAATTCAATGATCGAGCCCCGTGCCAAACATAAAATACCAAACATGCTAAAAATACCAACNATATCTATATCTATATCTATATCTATATCTATATCTATATCTATATCTATATCTATATCTATATCTATATCTATATCTATATCTATATCTATATCTATATCTATATCTATATCTATATCTATATCTATATCTATATCTATATCTATATCTATATCTATATCTATATCTATATCACACTCAACGCTCGCATCTCTACATCGAAGCTGAAGGAATAAAAATACATACTTAATATCAAAGTTCTTGAGCATAGCAGTTATTCAGCTGGCACGTACAAATCGCCTGAGATGTCAATGGATAGGCTGGGGTAGAGGAGACGAATGAACAGGGATAGATGACTGGGATTTTTGGATGTTTGCTTAAGCCTGGTAGCCTTTAGCCTTTTGACTTTGCATTTGCCATTGACTACACGCTCTCTGGTTTGATAATCTTCTATTTCCGTTTCTGTTTCGCTTTCGCTTTCTCTTTCTCCCTCTCCTCTTTTTCTTTCCGTTGGCAGTTGCTTTTGCCTGGCATTGTTCTTGCCATTTGGCACGTTGTTAGTGGCCTTTGGGTGCGTGCAGTTGTCGTAAAATGGAATTTGATAGGCCATGACATGAATATAGTAGCTGGACACATACACACACAGGCATACTTGCATACATTTACAATCTGCGATTGCCTAAATGCCAAATAAAGTGCAATTCAATGATCGAGCCCCGTGCCAAACATAAAATACCAAACATGCTAAAAATACCAACGACTGTCTAATACCCTACCCTAAAAAATACTGCATTTTTGTATGGGCTTATAATTTAATCGACAAATCTATTTATAAGATATGTGAAACTTTTGAATACTATATGATGTGAAAAGAATCATTGTGTTCAAAATGGATGCTGCACAACAAATGGCAAGCATAATAATATACATTTGCTATTATTTCTAAACAAAGCACAACAAGTACTCAAATTTAATATCCAAACAAAAAGCCAGTGAGCAAGCTTTAGGGCATGCTCGACTAGAAGATACCCTGAACACCGAATATTCAGCATATAAAGGAATATTTGATATTTATAGATTCTTAAATTAACGAAAGGATAGACGAACTAATCCACGCAGATTGTCCTCCATTATCTGGTCAAGTCCTTTTGTCCGTCGGACGTTGCATACAATCCTACAAATCATCATACCCGGTTTTCCCATTTTCATTGGGCACGAAAATCTCTCTTTGCTTTCTAAAAGCAAAAATTTGTAAAATAAT